CCATGTTCATAGGGTGAAATAAAGAGAGAGCCGCACTCCTGGTCCATGGAGAACTCCCTAACGCCATCTCCTCAGATGAACTGTGAAGTGCAGAAGCCGGTGAATGATGACAGAGCTACAAAGTAGAAACCAGATTTAGTCAGTTCTCAGATCCCTGGCCCCCTTTCTTCCTAGAACGTGGAATGCCAAGCCATTATCATAAGGGCTCAGCTACCCTAGGGGCCAAGTCATGCTTGAACCTCACCAAAGCAATGTGGTCAGAAAGGCCTGCTCTGGGTCCATCTCTCCAAATCAGTGCTCTTTTTGGTGGTGGTTATTCTCATTAGTTGTACGTGAGAGTAGAGTGCATTTTGATATATTATACACAAATGGAGCACAACTTCTCATTCCTCTGGTTGTACAAGGTGCAGAATCATCCACTAGAGTAATTATATAATATATAGGGTAATATGTCTGTCTCTACTATCCTTCCCATCCCCACTGCCCCACCCCTCCCCTCTACAAAAACCAAAGTTCCTTCATTCCTCCCTACCACTCGCCCCACTATRGCTCAGCATCCACTTATCAGAGAAAACATTCGGCTTTTGGTTTTGGGGGATTRGCCTATTTCACTTAGCATGACATTCTTTAACTCCATCCATTTACCTGCAAATGCCATGATTTCATTCTTCTTTAAGGCTGAATAAAATTCCACTGTGTAAGTATACCACATTTTCTTTATCCATTCATCTTGAAGGRCATCTAGTTGATTACACAGTTTAGCTAYCGTGACTTGAGCTCCTATAAACATTGATGTGGCTGCGTCACTATAGTATGTTGATTTTAAGTCCTTTGGTATAAACCGAGTGGGACAGCTGGGTCAAATGRTGGTTCCATTCCAAGTTTTCTGGGGTACCTACATACTGCTTTCCATAGTGGTTGCACCAATTTGCAGTCCCACCAGCAGTGTATGAGTGTACTTTTTTCCCCCACATCCTTGCCAACACTTATTATTGCTTGTATTCTTGATATTTGCCATTCTGACTGGAGTGATTTGCATTTATCTAATTGATACAGAAACTCAAAAAGATGATGAACATTTTTTGTGTGTGTTTGTTGATCGATTGTATTTCTTATTCTGTGAAATGTCTGCTCAGTTCCTTAGCCCCTTATTGATTATTTTTGTTGTTGTTGTTGTTTGTTTGTTTTTGTTCTGGTGTTAGGTTTTCTGAGTTCTTTATATATCCTGGAAATCAGTGCTCTATCTGAGGTGTGTGTGGTAAAGAGTTTCTCCCAATCTGTGGGCTCTCTCATCTTGTTATTGCATATCAGTGCTCTATCTTGAACTAGGTTAYCAAGGAACTGCAGCTGAGCACCCACAGACACCATAGCAGTATTCTAGCACTGAGAATTGTGAAAAAATAAAGCTCCCTGGCTCTGCAGAAGCTTTTCATTTCCAGAGATGGCAAATATTTATTAGACTCTCGCTTTGTGCCAGGTACGGATCCAGGCACCAGGGAAAGAGCAATAAACAAAACAGATTAAAGCCCTGATTTCTGGCACACATGATGTTGAAAGATGGAGAGAGGTGGATAATTAACAAATGGCTAAGTAAATTAAATAGTGTGTCGGGTGGTTGTAAGTAACAGAGAGAAAATAAAATCAAGAAAAGGAGTGTATGAAGGGAGGGTGTGTGATATGGTATAGTCAGAAAGGGACAGGGTACTGCTGGCATGGATGCTGGCTTGAGACCCAATCAGCCTACCGTGGAGCCTCCCTGATGGCTGGGGAAAGGAGTAAAGAGCCTTCAGCAGAGGTTGGGGTAGCCCGTTAAACCAGGGAGCAGAATAGAAGACAAGAAAGAGTCTCAGGGATTTGCAGCCTGTGAGGGCCAAGTGTTCTCTTGAGTCGAAGCCCGTTCATGAGCCACAGACCTCGGCTAGCAGAAAGTTGGTGGCCAGGCAAGAAGAAAATGTGGAACTGGAGTTGAGCAAATGCCAGCCTGGGCGCCCCAGGAACCAGCACAAAGTTTGAATAGCCACCCGAAGACCTTTAAGCGCACTGGGCCTCCCTCCCATTACACTAGGTTCACCTTAGGGAATGACCTTATTTGAGGACTGACTACTTATCTAGAGGGTCTGTATCACTAATCAAACTGGATWATGCTTTGCTCAGGCTACATCATTCATTTTCTCGTGCTGCCCAGGAGCTGAGAGGAAATCAGATCAACTCTACATGAAGAAATTACATTTTCTCTGCCTAGGATGAAGCAAGAGGGAGGGAGAAAGTGAAGACAGTAGCTACAGAAACTCAGAATTTTGAGTTTTGCTGAAAACATAGAAGTGACCTAGAAGAGAAAAAATCTGATGACCTAGGAGAGAGGGATTTGATAGTAATTCCCTTGAGGAGGGCAATGGAGTGCTTCAGGTGCTGAGCTGACTCCAGCTACCAGTGCCACCAACGTATTCACTTGCCCAGGCGGAAGGACGGTGGGGGTGTGGTAGTGGGAGAGAGGGTATAGAAGCTTTTTTCACTTTGCTTTAATTTTCTTTCAGAGAAACATAGTGCATGATCTCCACTCAGGCGTTAGGATGCGGGGCGGGGGGGGGGGGGGGGTAGGGTTTAGGGAGACAGGAGAATATATCAGCAGAGTCTGAAGGGCAGGAAATTGAATGAGGTAGGGTAAGTATTCTGATGGCAGAAAAAGCTAACTAAGCACGCTGCTAGAGGCTGTGCATTTCCAAAGAAACAACTCTGCAGCCAAGTGGAAAGATGMATGGGCCAGGCTGCCCGCTCTGCTCTGGTGGAGTAGACAGGTATGACAATGGAGCAAAGAGCAAAACCACTGAGGATGAGTCTTTGGGATGACTGTGGCCACTCATGGAGTTTAGGTTGTAAGAAAGTGAGGATATCAGGCATGTGAGGAACAAGGAAAAGGCAGGAGGAGCAACCGATGAGAGGAGCCTGTGGAGTAAAGGATTTCAGGGACCTCAGGCAGGAAGGAATGTGAGCAGAAAGAGAGCAGACGGAGGTCAGAAGTGGRGATGGAAGAGGGCTCTCAGGTCCTGGTAATGGTAAGATGTAAGGTATGCTCACAAAAGCAGCTGGCAGAGATGGGGTGCCAGATAGGATCACTGATAGAAATGGGGTTAACAAACCCCAAGATCAGGCACATGTGAGTGGATGTGTATTTTATCAGATGCAGTGCTTGAGAGAGAAGATGAGGCACCCCATCCTCGGGCAATGAGGATAAGTGATGGGTTGGGGCTGCACAGGGTGGAATGTGATGAATTCAGACTCAAAGCTACTTTTTAGGACAGCTGAAAAATAACAAGGGCAAGGGAAGTGACAGTTACCTTCCACGAAGCCCAGATTCCTGCATGTGAGAGAAAACTTGCAATGGAAGCATGTTCCTAAGATGAAGCCAGGTTTCAGATCCAAAAAAGAGAAGGGAACTTGGGAGAAAAGGTTGAAAATTTTTAACAAGATGCGTAAAAAAAAAAAAAAAAAAAAAAAAAAAAAAAAGCTAGACAGCCATTCCACATAAAGGAGCTGGCAGAAGCTCCAGAGTAGTGGGGCTGGGGTTGTGGCTCAGGGGTAGAGCACACGCCTAGCACATACGAGGCCCTGGGTTTGATCCTCCACACCACGTAAAGATCAATAAATAAAATAAAGGTATTGTGTCCAACTACAATTAAAAAATRAATGTTTTTTTWAAAAAGTTCCAGAGCAGTATAGGAAGCTTGGGGTGAGGATAGAGGAAGTGGGAGACAGATTTCCGGGCTGGRGCTGGGCGGTGTGGCAGGTCCTCAGGCTTGCAGGCTCAGGTGTTAGGCTAGACATTCTCCAAATCCCAGTCCCAACTCTTTGCCTGTTTGATCTCAAGGGAAACCCTGTTTGTCCACCAGGAAGCAGCTCCTCAGGGGCATGAGGATTAAACTGAAAGCACAGGGCCAGACACAACCTAGGCACTCAGTGAGCGTCAGCTATTGTCATTTTGATCCCAATGAGCTGACTCAAACATCAGTTTTCATCCATTTCCTGAATTTCTGTTGTTTCGGGTGTTGGCAGAGTCTGTTTTTTGTAATTTATAAAACACTCTGTACATAAAAACAATGTCTCACATGTGACAGTATTCAAGCATACATTTCAACATTTAGGTATCATTCTTTTTTTAAATTTTTTTTAGTTGTAGATAGACATAATATCTTATTTATTTATTTTTATATGGTGCTGAGGATCAAACCCAGTGCTTCACACGTGCAAAACAGGCGCTCTGCCACTGAGCTACAGCCCCAGCCCTTAAGTCTCATTTTTTATGTCCCTGTTTAGAGATCCCAGGGATCCTTGGAATTATTTAGTCAGCACCTTCCRCCACCATTTGGAATTTAGAACAGTGGCCTTGACAGGACAAGACTGGGCCAAGATCACACAGCAACTCAATCCTGGTAGCCAGGACTAGTGGCTCTGAATTCGAGTCTTGACTGCTCTTCTGTTTAGGGGTGTAGCTTCCTAGTGGTCATGGGGGGGGGCATTCCCCTTCCGGACACAAGCAGAGATCCCCCAGAAAGCCCCCTGTGTTCTTGACTTACAAAAAGTGCTCGCAGCGCGCAGGGGCCAATACCAACCTCTCCCAGGTTAAGGAATCGCTGACCGGGAGTGGGTAGGGCTCCCGCACTGCGGCCGCTGCGAGTTCCAATTGGCCACAAGCGAAGCGCCTCGGTTTACCCAGGGGCTGGGAGGGCGCGGGGAGCGGTGCCCGGGCGGGCGAGGGCCGGGGGCGGAGACTGCGCGCCGCTGGCTCCCGAGCGCGGGGCAGCGAACCCTCAGAGCCGCCTTCCCGCGCCAGGAGCGGCAGGGCTCGGCGGTACCCGCAGGGGTTCCACTGGGCTCGCAGCGTCGCAGCGCTCCGCCGTCGGGCCGGGCGCGCCCTGCGGAAGGCAGGGAGAAGAAGCGCTCCCCACGGGGGCCACGCCCGGGCCTCCTGCGCCACCCGGGCTGAGCGGCCGCGCGGTGCTGCCATGGGTAGCCCCTGGAACGGCAGCGCTGGCCCCGAGGGCGCGCGGGAGCCGCCTTGGGCCTCGCTGCCGCCGTGCGACGAGCGCCGCTGCTCCACCTTCCCCCTGAGGACGCTGGTGCCGGTGACCGTCGTGTGCCTGGGCCTGTTCGCCGTCGGGGTGAGCGGGAACGTGGTGACCGTGCTGCTGATCGGGCGCTACCGGGACATGCGGACCACCACCAACTTGTACCTGGGCAGCATGGCCGTGTCCGACCTGCTCATCCTTCTGGGGCTCCCCTTCGACCTGTACCGCCTCTGGCGCTCCCGGCCCTGGGTGTTCGGGTCGCTGCTCTGCCGCCTGTCCCTGTACCTGGGCGAGGGCTGCACCTACGCCACTCTGCTGCACATGACAGCCCTCAGCGTCGAGCGCTACCTGGCCATCTGCCGTCCGCTGCGTGCCCGCGTCCTCATCACCCGGTGCCGCGTCCGCGCGCTCATCGGTGCTCTCTGGGCGGTGGCCCTGCTCTCTGCCGGGCCCTTCTTTTTTCTGGTGGACGTCGAGCAGGACCCCAGCATCTACCCGATCGTGGACCTTAACGGCACTGAGCAACACACCTTCTTGTCCAGCGTGCCGCCGCCCCTCTGGCCCTCGCGGGCGCCACTGTCGTCCCCGCTCTCTGGACCTGAGGCTGCAGCGGCCGCGGCGCTGTTCAGCCGCGAGTGCAGGCCAAGCCGCGCACGGTTGGGTACATTGCGGGTCATGCTGTGGGTTACCACTGCCTACTTCTTCCTGCCCTTCCTGTGCCTCAGTGTCCTCTACGGGCTCATCGGGCGAGAGCTGTGGAAGAACCGAGATCCACTGCAAGGTCCTGCCGCCCTGGGGCGGGAGAGGAGCCACCGGCAGACAGTCCGCGTCCTGCGTAAGTCCTGCCACCTCTCTTCCAAACTCGCCAGTCCTTGGTCAGCACCGCAAGTGGGAACAGGCAAACTGCTCGCCCTCTACCTCCAGAGAAAACCATCTCTAGTCCCCCAGGGTTCTGAGGAACCCAGAGCTCGGATCTAGTCGACAGGAATGACTTCCCAATGCTGCTGAGATCCAGGATGGGTAGCTGACTCGCCTCTGTTAGAGACCGCAGCTGTGGATTAATCACAGCACCCTTTGAGAAGACGGGTAGATTGCATTAAACTAAAATTTCATTTAGTGTTAAGTTATCCCAAAGACTGAGTGAACCATGCCCATATCAAAAAGTCAAAGATGCGTAGACCTGTTGCAGATTTTTTTTTTCCCTCCAAGATAATCTGCCTCTTAAGCGGGTTTGTAAAAGGAAGGCTGCCAAAACAGCTTTTGGGAGCAATTGTTTTTTCCTGGCTTATGCCCAGTCTTGATAACACATACATGAGCCTAACGTGAAGTTTTAAAGCAAATATCGATGCAGTTAAATACCTGRTTGGTTTTTGTCCATGCATGCAGATTTTGCTAGGTGAAAGTTCTATCTAATTTATTTTGTTGCTATACTACTGCAGGTGGRTTTTTTTTTTTTTTTTTTTTTTTGCGRGGCRGGGAGGGGTGGGTATTTGATTTTTTAAATGCTTTTGCTAATGTGTCTATGTCTTGTTTTGCAGTGGTGGTGGTTTTGGCATTTGTAGTTTGCTGGTTGCCTTTCCACGTTGGCAGAATCATTTACATAAACACCGAAGATTCCCGGATGATGTATTTCTCTCAGTACTTCAACATTGTCGCTCTGCAACTATTCTATCTGAGTGCATCCATCAACCCAATCCTCTACAACCTCATTTCCAAGAAGTACAGAGCAGCCGCCCGTAAACTGCTGCTTGCAAAACGGTCYAAACCAAGAGGTTTCTGCAGAAGCAAGGACACTGGGGGGGACCCTGGGGGAGACACGGGAGTTACAGTTGGCTACACAGAGACCAGTGCTAACACAAAGACAATGGCCTAACCAGCACAGCTGAGCCAATTACAAGACTTTGGAGACAACAGGTCTGTAGAGAAATAAAGACAGAAAGTRGGGTATGAATGCTGTTTAAGAATGAGAGTTGTTGAAATTTTGCAAGTTGGTTAGAAATTGTTGGCATGATTTTTTTTTAAATCAAAGTATAAAATGTATCTGTACCAGTTATTACAGGTTCCCTTTCATATATCTGTATTCACTTTAGCATCATGAAATCCCACATCTATAGTGTGTCTGGAAGAGGTTTTCTAAGTCTTCATTCATTCTACTCTGGGAATAAGATCAATCATTTTATAGTTAAGTGATAGAGCAATGCTGCCTAAAAATTGTCACCTCTGAGATCAGGGGTGTATTTGTTCTGTTTGGAATATAAATATACATATACAAGGAAACAGGATGATGAGTTTGGATCCAAGAATTATTTAATACCTATATATGGTATATTTAATACCTATATATGGCCATATATACCATATATGGCTTTGTGAAAAACTTTTAGAAGTAAGAATTTCAGGTAGACTCCAAAGTTCAGGAGTCCCACCTCTCAACAGACTGGGAGCAAATAAAGTTTTGGCTAAATGTGATCTTTGAAAACTGCTATGAATAAAACCAGTGCAACCCACTTTTCCCTGGAACTGCCTATGGGGTTGTACTAATGCCACTAGCCTTGAAGTAGCAAAGTTGGGCACAGAGACAAGAGGACAGAGAGCTTGGCCTTCTGAGAYGACTACTGATGAGCTTTGAAAAGAACTTTAATCTACCTTCCTTTGCCTCAGCCTATTTGGATGAGAATTGTCATCATCCCTGTTTTACTAGTAACAGAACTGACTCTTAGATTTCCCAGACAGGAACTAGGAAGGCTTGAGTCTGAATCCAGACTTTAAAATACTCACCCACCCTCAATGAGATTGTAATTGTTGAAAAACATACAGGTTGCTTTGTGAAAGAGAATGCATTGGACATTCTAACGAACAATTCTGAAACTTTGATTTTTTACAGTTTAAAACATAAGTGTTCCCAGCAGCTCTGGAGGATGAGGCAGGAGGATCACAAGTTCAAAGCTAGCTTTAGCAATTTAGTGAGGCCCTAAGCAACTCAACGAGACCCTATCTCTAAATAAAATATTAAAAAGGGACTCATGTGGCTCAGTGGTAAAGTGCCCCTGGGTTCAATTCCCAGTACCTAAATAAATGTATTTTCAGAAGGCTGTTGCTGTGTCACTCAGGGCCTCATCAGCCTCAATCTATATGAATGGCGCCCTGTAAGTGGGCAAAGCCTGACTTGTTCAATTGTACTTGGGTTCCTTTTGGGGTTGATAAAGTTCATCCCTAAATTATGTAGATTGTTGATACTTATTACGRATTTTTATTGAGATGTTCATGAACCTTCAAATCCACAAATATCAAAAGAGTGTCGAAKGCTGTAAAATAGAACTTCATCAGTTATAGTGACAAACAGAAGTAAGGTCTCAATGAGATTCAGAAGCTGGAGAGTTAGCTCAGTTTACTCGCTWACTTGGGGACTTTGCTTCACAGCTCACAGTTTGGGCAGCCTCCATTTCTAAATTGCTTCTGGTCCCACAAATCGTTATGGTCTGTTTTGAATAGTTACAACTACAAATGATGAATACATAAACAACCAGGGTCTTCTTGACAGGCTGACAAAGTTCTGTTGCTTTTTCGTTTTATTAGCCAAACACAAGCTCAGCACCCTGACTCCCTGGCCTGTCCTCAGTGTGTGCAGGAGTGAAGCCTCTTCCCTGCCTTTGATCCCAGCTAGTGAGGAAGCAACCCCTCCACCAACTCTCCCCAAGTGACAATATGCCATAGTGAGTCAAAGACTCAGGATTTCCTTCATTTATTTTATTTGTATTTTTTAGTTGTAAATGGATGGATAATGTCTTTTTATGTATTTATTTTATGTGGTGCTGAGGATGGAACCCAGTGCCTCATACATGTGAGGTAAGCACTCCACCACTTAGCTACAGCCCCAGCCCTCCTTCACTTATTTTATCACAGAGCCAACTCCCCACCTTCCTTTCCAGGAACACCCGTTGAAACCTCACAGAATGAGGCACAGTGTTGGGGGACCAGGYTTGGATTTGGGGATCTCCTGGCAGAGAGCCAGCCTGTGCTGCTACCACTGTCCACGTGATAGCCCTGAGTCAGGATGAGCTGGAGCTCTCTGCTCACAGGAATCCCTCTCTGGAGCAGTCAAAAGCTGACTTTTCCCCAGGAGAAATCACAATGAAGAACCTTAAAGATAATCAAAAAATATTGTAGATACAGAAGCAAAGACGTTTCCTTTGAGCTTTCTTGTTCAAATTCTAGAAAGCAGCGATTTATATCACAGTCTTCTGAGACCTAAGTATATTCCCAGGTATGGGTATGGGGAGGATCACCGTGACCTGCACTGCACAGTCCCTGTCCAGGAGAACTGGAAGCCWATCTTTCCTGCAGGGTCCCTGTCTGGTCTCAGCTTGTTCATGAAATTTGAAATCATTTGTAATGGTCACTTTTTCTGCAAAACAACAGAGTGAATAAGAACAGAATAGAAAATATCAATGCATCACATGTTGGTTGGTTTCTTTCCTGGTTCACAAAATAAAACATATCTTTACTGTAAGTCATGGTCAAAAATTTGTTTGAAAAGTTGTTTTGAGATCTAAAATTGTTCTCCACACTGGCAGAGGGTCTGTTCTTGCACTGACAACTGTCAATAAAAKGAAGGTATTGGGAAGACCCAGAGTGGTCAAGTCAAGGGTCACTGGAGAGRGACAATGAAGCTGTGGATTACTGTCCTGGTCCTCCCTCTCCTCCCTGGGCATGCCATGGAGGCTGAGCCCTGACTACTCCCTCCACCCTGACTGAGRTCTGKGCTGGCATTCCAGCAACTTAYCTGAGCCCCTTTCCCTTCTATAGGCCAAACCATTTTTGTTAGGAGAACTGTCAACCCTTGTGAGAGAGTTTGTTATTTCATTTGCAGGGCAAATATTTACCAAGCAACTGCTAAGTGCCAGATGTGTAGGACAAAATACTCTAGAAAAATTAGTCCTTGCCATGGTATCAAAATCAATCAACTTTTTAATGGCATTTTTTTGTTTGAAATGTGTCATTGTGTCACCTAGACTAAACAAAGATTCAGCTTACAGGTTAATAAAAGCACTTAYATCAGATGGAAGCAGAATATCAGGTTCCTCCTCTTTCACATAGAAGACATTTGCACTTCTGCAGGAAATGTTCTCAGAGCTATTGTACAACACCTCCTCGCATCCAAGGGACCCCTGTGCCAGGTTCACAAGAAGCCACAGAAGCCATGTGTCAATGGTGTTTGAAAGTTTGAACATGCCCTCTCCTGACCCTTTCTACYCATGTCATAACATTTGCCAGTGTATGGAAGTGTTTTGTATTTAAGTGTTAGTGGTTGCACAAGTGTAGAGGTTTAAAAGGGCTTTACTTAAACATAGATGCTGTGCAATTTTTAATTGGGAATRCACTTTCTAAAGATCCCAAACTCTRTACACTACAGAGCCCCCMGCTCAGCCCTGAGCAGTCTTCAAAACCCAACATTTCCTTTCCCAAGAGCACAAGAATATTTGTGCTCATTGAGCCCTATGGGAATGCTGTGTGGGCAACTACTCACCCATCCCTCACCCTGTGTAAGTTACAGAGGAGGTGAGAGAACAAGGCTCTTCTCATCACCTCCTTAGAAAAACAATTCACTTTTATTTTTCTGTGCTGAAGATCAAACCCAGAATCTTGCACACACTAGGCAAGCATCTACCACTGAGCCACAATCCCAGCCCATGACACATACTTTTTAAAGAAGATCAGACACCAATCTGAGTGCTATAATCCCAGCCACTCAGGAGGCTGAGGCCAGAGGATAGCAAGTTGGAGGACAACCTGAGAAATTTAGCAAGACCTTGTTTCAAATAAAATTTTATAAGGGCTGAGGATGTAGCTCAGTGATAGAGCACTTGCCTAGCATGTGTGAGGCTCTGGGTTTGATAGAGATAGGTAGATGATAGATAGGTAGATAGATGATAGATAGATAGATTAGGCACCTATGTGAAAAGAGCTGAAACTCATCAGCTAGATCAGAAGAACGGAGCCTGGGCAGTCAGGGTGATGGTCTGTGGTCCTTCTTAYCCACTTAACAGGTTTCCTTGCAGGTGACTGTTTCCACTGGTAATGGTCCCAAAAGACAAAGACCAGGTGTTCTTTTCCAGTCTGCCTCTCTTGTTGAGGTGAATAACTTGCACGGAACTCAACTGCTAGTGAGGGAACAAGGTCTTCACCTCAGTGGATAAATAGAGAAAATGAACAGATAACTGCGGCCTTTGTTCTGAGCCACCGGACAGCACAAATAAAAGGGTAAGACAGGAGTGACCCAGCACACAGGAGGAGCCAGAGCTGCTGCGTGGTACCAAGGAAAGGCCTCCAGGGAGGAGGAGAGGAAGGAGAATGCACTGATTAAATGGGAGCAGCAGGTGACAGGAGGCTGGGGCCGGGAGACCAGTTTGGACTAGCCACTTGCCCACAACCAGGATCTAGGACACTTGTGGGGTGGAGCAAAGYTGGATTTTCACTTTTACAGCTTCAGCACCTCCCAAAGCCCTTTCCCCATCCTTATGCAGCCCAAGATGTTCCAGTGCCTCCCACCTGAACCTCTGTACCACCTACAACCACCCCCCCCATCCAAGGCCCAGCTAGGCCCTTCAAGGAAAGGACCATGGTTTTGTATTTCCTTTCTTTCAGCTCTACAGTGTGCATGCAGGTCTAAAATGTTCTATGAATTTCTACTACTTGTTGTGATAAGGGAAATAAATAAGATTTTAAAATTTTTCAAAAATTAATACCTGTAGGCTGGGGTTGTGGCTCAGTGGTAGAGCACTTGCGTACCATGTGTGAGGCACTGGGTTCAATTCTCAGCACCACATATAAATAAATAAAAATAAAGATCATTGACAATTTTAAAAATATTTT